GCAGCCATTTCAAAGCAGCGTGATCAGTTCTGATTAAAAATTTCCGTCCCAGTAAATACTTCTTGAAATGGTGCAGAGTTTTGACTACGGCCAGTAATTCCCTCCTGGTCACGCAATAATTCCTCTCCGGCTTGGATAGTGACTTGCTGAAGTAAGCAATAACCTTCTCCTGCTCACCATCGCGTTGTGAAAGGACACCTCCTATTCCGATATTACTGGCGTCCGTATCAACTACGAATATTCCTTTCGCGCTGGGGTATCCGAGAATTGGCGTTTTACAAAGCCGTTCTTTTAGTTCGCGAAAGGCTTGCTCACAATCCTCGTCCCATATAAAGGCACGTTTCTCCTCTGTCAATCGATGCAATGGCTTGGCAATGTCCGAGAATCCTTTCACAAACCGCCGATAATACGAGCATAATCCAAGAAATGCCCGAACTTGCGTTTTGTCTTTAGGTGTTGGCCATTCCTTAACAGCGGCAGTCTTGGCTGGATCAGTCTCAATTCCTCTCTCAGAAATAACATGTCCTAGATAATTCACTTCGCGCTTAAAGAAAGAGCATTTCTTTGGACTCAACTTTAAATTTGCTCCACGCAGCTTTTCGAGTACCCTTTCCAATTTTCTTAGATGATCGTCAAAATCCCGTCCAACGATGATGATGTCATCGAGGTAAACTAGGCAGGTTTCGCCCAGCAGTCCCGCCAGCACCTGTTCCATCAAACGCTCAAAGGTTGCCGGTGCATTGCATAATCCAAATGGCATCACCTTAAATTGCCAGAGTCCCTTCCCAGTTGAGAATGCGGTCTTTTCCTTGTCCTTGGGATCCAAATCCACCTGCCAATAGCCGCTTTTCAGATCGAGCGTTGAAAACCATTTCATGCCACTCAGTGTGTCAAGTGTGTCATCGATTCTTGGTAACGGGTAGCTATCCTTCTTGGTTACATCATTCAATCGTCGATAGTCTACGCAAAACCTCGTTGAACCATCTTTCTTCTTGACAAGCACGACAGGTGAACACCAAGGGCTAGAAGAGGGCTCTATCACGTCATTTTTCCTCATATCGTCAATCATTTGTTCAACCTCTTTCTCACGAGCGAATGGTATACGTCTGGGCCTTTGACGAATTGGCATTGTATCACCTGTATTTATTTTATGCTTCACCAAACCAGTTCGGCCAATATCACCATCGCTTCTTGAAAACACATCAGAGAATCGAAGGAGTAAATTTCTAGCTTTCATAGTCTCCACTTTTGTCAGACTTTTGTTTTCGTCTAAGATTTTCGTTACAAAGTCTATTCCCGTACTGTCCTTCTTCACAAGATTCTCCGAGCATTTTCTTATCCAGGCCACTTCTTCCAAAACGCCCACAGGCTCTCCTTCTTCAATCGTAATTTTTGAATCACTGAAGTTGAATACCGGAATGCGGTTGACATCAGATGACCCCACGACAGTCCTTGCCGGTAGCCATGAGTTTACGTGTTCCGATTTATCAATCACAGCGCACCTTCGAGGTAAACTTCCTTCACTCCTCCTAGGTAATGCGATTGGTACGAGAGTCTGTGATTTTGGTTCAAGAACAGTTCTTCTTAAACAGCAAACTTTTCCCAGGGTTCCACCCTTCATCGGAATTTCCTCAGTTCCACATAGTAATACTCCAGATTTTAAGTCGATGTTACACTGGTGCCCTTGCAGGAAGTCAAGTCCCAGGATGCAGTCATCCAGAATTTTGGCCACAATAACCTCATGTCGATAAACACGTTCCCCAATTTTGATTGTTACGTGCAGTTTTCCACTTATCGGTATCCACTGGCCGGTAGCTGATTTCATTCGTAGGCCAAAAATTGGTTTAACGTGTTTCCTGATGTTTTGCCCGAGCAGCCGAACATTTATCACCGTCCTTGAAGCTCCAGTATCTAATGTTAGCTGACTGTTTTTCCCATTTACTTGACCGTCTATCACCAGAGTATTTCCATCGTTAGTTTGCTTGATGTAGATTGTTGGGGTTATTCCACTACCGGCCAGCGCCCACCCCGCAGCCCTGGCTGGAATTAGTTTCCCTGCTGGTCAGAAGTTGAGACCGCCGCGTCCTGGCGGTTCACCTTCTTCGGGCAGTTGCTCCGCATGTGCCCACGCTCTCCGCATCCATAGCACATGAAGTTCCGACGGCGTGGAGGTACCTGCTCCGTAGTCGTCATTTCCCGCAGACATAAGGTACGGGAGTTACCACGCACAGCTTCCACTTCCAATGCATGGGCCAGAGCTTCTTTCATGTTCTTGTGATGGCCCAGATGAACAGCAGCTCGTACTTCGGGGTCCCGAATACCGTCAATGAACGCTTGGAGGAGCGTGTCTTCAATCATTGACGGAGTCGACCGGAAAGCTCGACGCACAAGTTTCTCGATTTCCACGGACCATTGCTGTAGGCTCTCATTAGCACGCTGAGTACGCTCTTTTAATTGCGCTCTGTACACGTGCTCGAGGTGGCTGTCTCCAAAACGTGCCTCAAGTGCGTCGAGGAGGGCACTTAAGCTGAGATCCCCACTTGCGCCGATAGCTTCCAGCACTGAGAGCGCTTGATCACGGAGGGCCAGGGTGAGGGCTGACTGTGCTTCCTTCTGAGTCCAACCATAAGCCTCCATAAGTGTCTCAAACTGTAGCTTGAACGCGTTCCAGGATGTTGTTCCGTCGTAATGGGGAATCTTGAGCCCTTTCGTTGCGCTTGAGGCCACATTTGGGGCGTCAAAAACGGCTGCAAGACGGCTTCGGCTCTTCAAAGGGCTTGGGCTTGTCACTTCCTGCTTGATTTTGGAGATCTCTTCTTTCACTCTCTCCTCTATCGCCATGACGCGATGTTCCAACTTGCCTAACCCTTCCTCCACTTCTTGTACCCGTTCGACAGCCTTTTGCAGTCCCTTCGTGAAATCCTTATGCATCTCTTCCAAGCGACGCGCTTGCTCCTCTTGGCGGCGAGCTTGATCCTCTTGGCGACGAGCTTGATCTTCTTTCAGCTCCCGTAGCTGTTCCGCCTGACAGCGTGCTTGCTCTTCTTGGCGGCGCGCTTGCTCTTCTTGGCGGCGCGCTTGCTCTTCTTTCAGCTCCCGCAGCTGTTCTGCCTGACAGCGCGCTTGCTCTTCTTGGCGGCGCGCTTGCTCTTCTTGGCGGCGCGCTTGCTCTTCTTGGCGGCGCGCTTGCTCTTCTTGGCGGCGCGCTTGCTCTGCCATCATTTGCTGCAGCTGTAGCAGAAGATCCACCTGCACAGGCTTGGCTTCTGCATCGCTGGTTTGAGCTCCAGCACCCTCTTCCCTCACACGCTGCGCTTCTGACATTGCACGGGTACTCACTCCTCTTACGTCCTGCGGCACTAGCGGCATTTTTCTCCAATCCCACTTCTGACACCAAATGTTACGTGCCTGACGTCACGTTCCTGACTATGCGGGCTTGGGTTACGGGATTGGATGAAATGAAACACTAATACCGGTTTTCAGACTTTCTATTGCACTTAAGTTACAGCGTCCACGGAGTTAAGTTATCGGCGTTCTTCTCCAGCAGAGTCCGGCCGACTGACACAACTTTGCCGTTCACGCTGACTTAACTCACTTAACTGACTGCACTTCACTATTTCACTGCACTTCACTATTTCACTCACTTTTCTTCTTTTCCACTTCTTCCTTTTCTTCCGAATCGCTTTAGACTTAGAACTCAACTGCCAGCGGTGAGCCGCAGTTCCGCTTATATACCCCCGGTCAGGTTCTAGAACATTCAATTTCGTTATTCTTTTTGATCGTCATGCCTCCAGAACCTTCCAATAATTTCGTTATTCATTTTTATTTATTCTCCTTCTCGCTCCTTAATTTTTCATTTCTTTCACTCAAATAATTCCAGAAAGTTCGACAAAACTTCCATCAACTAAAAAACTTCATGTTTACGGCGGGACTCGAACTCGGGGTCTCTGTGGTGTAATCCACACGCCTTACCGATTACACCAACTCGTGTTGACAATTCACGACGAAATTTACAATCTGTAGGCAGCGTTTGACAACCATCCCTTGACGTCATGATGTCAAAGAGTTTTCCGTCACAATATTATTTTTAAGAGGTAGGTACAACCTGCATGTCGATTCTATAAAATCTGTTGATTTTGTGAAGTGAGCGTCGAAGAGACAAGAAAATTATATTATAAAATGCCACTTTTAACGTCATCTCATACTTTATCTATCAAAATGTTGCAGTCAATTTAGTTCAACTCGCAAGTGTAGCGCTAGTGTCTTCTCTCTTACAGCGGATTCAGATTCGAAGTTTACAATGAAGTCTTACAAAATCACACCCCTAGGAACAGAAAGATTTACTAAAGGAATGCTCTTACGCTTTGGATACATACTTTAAAAATGAAAATATTTATGTCAAAAAAACATGAGCTCAAGTCTTATTCACAATACGTCATAACAAAACATAACTTCCATTTCGTCGGAAACGGTCCACTTCACGATAGATAGAACGTCAAAAGATAATTAAAATTTGATAAAAATAAAGCAGTTATAAAAATTTACTAAGTAAAACTTTTTGAAAACTCTCGTCTCCATTATTGACAGGCTATTTGATAAATTATCATCGCTCAGAATCTTAAAGAGATCTCGGTTTTCCAATAAAAATCTTTTGTTCGTGTAATTCTATATTTTTACGTTGCTTAGTCTTAAAACACTTGGTAATTGAACGATTTATTGGTTCTTCTAAGATGCTTTGTCTGTTATATTTAAACATTTTTTTCTTTTAATTTAATAAAGAGATGGTAAGATCATAGAAAGATATATACATATATAACCTTCTTTCTCAGTTCAAAATCTATACCATAACATTATAAATGTGAAAGTAACACTGTCTGTCTGTCTGTCTGTCTGTCTTTTCTTCACGCCTAAACTACTGAACAAGTTTGGTACAGACATAGTTTGGAATTCGAGAAAGGACATAGGATAGTTTTTATACCTAAAATCTGCAGGAAGTAACCATGCCACGTGAACGGAGTCCCGGGCAAAAGCTAGTAAACTATATAATGACCTCACAACACATCACATCATCACATATCACACATAGAAGTTTGTGTGTTAATTACCACGCTTGCTCAAGGCGGATTGGCGTAACTTCGGCCAAGCAGTATCCAAATATACTTAGGAAAAACATATAACTCGAAAAAAGTCTCATTGGGACAACTGCTAGACATATGGCTGTTTAGGATATTTCTATTGTTATTTTTTTTGACATGGACGTTGTCCAGTCCCTTCCCCAGGACGTTGGCAGTCAGATTTTACTGACTTACTGCTCCAAGACGTACCATGTTGCGCTTGACTCTCGACCCCTGTTGAACATCGGCCCTATTGGCCCTGTAGTTGTCTATTGGCCGCCATGTGAGACTAAACTTGGCGTCCACATCTTTCATCTTTTTTACCAAAAAAAATAAATTTAATTCTACAATTTTGCTTACAGGTACCTAGGGATCCGGAATCCATTGAAAAGTCGGCATCATTCCACCAAGAGGGTGGTCGTTATCAAGATCGCACTGGTCTGGCTTCTCAGTATGTTCGTGTCTAGTTCTATTACTGTTTTAGGTAAGTTGAACTTGATGTGTAACAATCTAATTTATTTGGTTTATCTAGTATCTAAGATCAATCAAGGAGCCAGTTGAATGCCGGTGCAAAGCCAAGCCGTGCACGTTCTTAAGTGGTGACCACGTCGGGGCCGACTTGGCCCAATCGTAGTGTGTGTATATGCACACACACTACAGTGAATAAGTACCTCTAATATGGTCTTTTACTAATGCGTGGGAAATGTGTTGTTATTTCTTTCAGTTTTTTGACTGAATCCCTTTTCAAAATACATAACTCGTGAGGATCAAATAAAAACCTTTCATGCATTCCTTGACTTATCGCTTGGGGTTTGATTAAATAAGAAATGGTTAAGTAAAATATGTTTCTGAGTACGGCAGTACGACAACAGTACTCAATACCTTCTTACTCTATTAATACAACATCACTAATAACTAGCAAGTACTTTAATAACAACCGCAATTAGCAAGAATTAAACTCCACTCGGCACTAATAGGGAATGTTTGAAGATATATCAAACAATGTCCAACAGTTCAAACTTTATACTCACAAGGACAACTTAGAAATTAAACTGTAGTTAGAATTCAGGTGTTATTTTCCTGATTGCGTACGAACTTTACTTGTGGTGAAGGTTAGAGGTACTGGAACAATTTGACAATATGGCAGTTGTTAGTCATCCATTGATAAAGTCAATTTTAATCGGTATATGGTATGGCGTCCAACAGGTTTGTTGTTCAGTTGAGGTTAAGGATACAAGTGCTATAATTTACTGCGACGCTGGCCTGAATAGGAAGGAAGAATGGGGTGGTATTTAGTCAGTAAGAGTCTTACACTCCCTCCCAGGGCGGGAAGAAGTCATTTGATGATTTCTCCCTAAAAAACAGCCTTTTGAAAATAGTATCCGGTCCCCACAACACCAGTTGTTTCACTCCGTTTTTCTACGAGGTACCACTGTGTCAAGCTGATCTATTCATGCTAAAGCATGGCTGTCCTACACTTAGGTAAAAGATTAATGACTAACTCCTGTTAATGAATTAGGTGGGTAACTAGAAACATTAGTAACTAGCTACTCTCGCGCGGTTTCACCCGCTGCTCGACTCCATTTAATCATAGCGTGTTGTTTTATAGCCTATAGCACTCAAGAATATTGTAGCTATGTATTAGTGAAAGAGTTTTTGCAATCGGACCAGCGGTTCCAAAGATTACCCCCTACATTCAAACTTACAAACTTAGAAATTTTACCTCTTTATAATATTAGTATAGACGAGTAGCAATGAATCACAATATAACAAAAATGAAGATTCGTTTACGCTAAAATAAATCTTAAGTCTATTGGTATAAACCAGTGCTTTCTCTATTACAATCTGGCAATTAGTAGCTACTATTGTTAACTCGAGCAAGTAATTGGAAAAACGAATGGAACTTCTTGGCTCGCTGTCAAAACTTAATTCCAGACCGATTGGTCGTAATGAACTTTTTTTTTTAAATAACAAGTCGTTAACAGTTTCTGTGAGTTACGTGTTTTCGTTTTTTAATGGCCAGTTTTAAGCACTCTCTTTTGACAACTCTGTCCAGTTTTACGATATTTTGAAACAGGTAACATCCATCCATAAATACAGTAAATAGGATAACAAAGACAGAAACAGACGTCTGTTAGGTCCTGCATATTTCTTTTAGAATCTCTGCTTAGAATTTCTACCTACAGTCCATCAAACGGTGAGTGATTATATCTCTAGCTAAGCGAATAAAACTATTTCATATTTTTTAATGTCAGTCCTTAATAAATTCAGTTGATTTGTGACAACTAAATTGATTGAACTAATACTGCCTTTTCCTCATAAGCCCCCTCTTTTAAGCAGGTCAATCACTAATTAATGGATCATATTTTTGAACGCCCGTAAAAAAGAATGCTTTAACAAAAACTGTTTCCTTAAATAAACACAAGCTAATGTAAATATTTTTTTGTCCCCAGGTCTTATAAACCGAACCAACATAATGCCGACACCAGACCTCTGCGTGATCAACAATCGTCTGTTCTGGATCTTTGGGTCATTGGTCGCTTTCTACATTCCTATGCTTACTATGGTCGTGTCATTTGCGCTGACTGTACAACTGCTGAAGAGACAAGCTCGACTTGCCGCCACGCCTGTACCTGGAGGAACTCAGAGAAGGTAGGTTTATTGAAAATAGTCATTATTAGGTATATGATGGATGATGTTAAGAAATGATGCAAAAGTGTTTGTCTTTCCAATTCATTTTAAAATAAACAAACGGACTTTCTATATTGCGCGTGTATTTTAATATTATTTCTTAATAGATTAAAATTGAAAGGTTTCTTACTTATAATACTTACGGGTATATTATAAATGATAATGAGATAGTTGTAGATGAAAACCCAACCCCACCTTACATAGTTACTTACTCTACCCTTCCCTATTTTACCTACTTGCCCTACCTTACTATATTTTTCATCAAAACCTTCTTCTGACAATAACAAACAAAAATAAAAATAAAAATCACAAATAAATTAATATACTACCAACACATTTTGATGTTCATTTTAATATTTTAAAAAATGCGTATTAAATGAATAATTCTGTCTTCAGTAGCAATGCATACCTTAATATATAATGTTTAAGATGTAACTCAAAAATGATTTTATTTCGACTGCTTGGCCAGATAGTAAGACTTTCATAACTCACATTTCGCAGGTTACCCCGAAAAGTTGCCGCCAACCTTCCATTGAACAAACTTTCTTGGCACGACTTTTTTGCCTTAAGTAATTTCTAAGTCATTCCAGCTAAGTCTTTTTGTTATAAGAAAGAAATAAGTTCACCTCCTTTATTATGGTCGTAATTCGACTTTAATTTTTCTGTGAAAGTAAAATTTCCTTATTTTGTAACTCGTCTGAACTAAAATAATTTATTTATTTCGAAAATGCATTTTTAAGTTAAATTTTCTTTTACCGGCAAAATGTGGATATTTTTTATAAATGTGTTTTTTTAACGTAATTTTTATGGTAAATCAAGCCCAAGTTTTAGCTTATTACCTTATTTGTCGGAAATGGTACTGAAAAACTGTAGTTCTTTTTTACAATATTTTAAATGAAATTGATAATTATTTTCTTCATAGTATTTTTTGATTCTCATTCAGCTCATTGCTATTGGTAAACGTATTTATAGTTGCTTTTAAGCACAATCTAACACAATAAGGTAATTTAAATTAAACATTCCGTAGAAATGTAAATGCCCATTAAATAGTCTATTAATGGACATGGTTACAAAATGTCCCTAAACAGAGACATAACCTAAAATGAAAAAGTGGATGTTACTATGTATACGAACGCTTCTGCTTACTCTCCTAGGATTAAAAAGGCGTCAAGTTATTTTTAGGTTTCGTTGCCAAATGCCAAAAATGGAAAACTTATGGATTCATCATGATTGTCTATTTAACCATTCGTATGTCATAGCGATTTTTTTCTGTAATTATAACAACTTTACTATAAAAACTTAGTAAGTAGATCAATTCTATAAACCGCGTAAAAATGTTCACAAAAATTCTTCACGTGCAACAAAATAAATACCTACGTTCAGAAACGTCCCACACCGATTTTTCCCATCTCATTACGTATTCGCTGCCCTCAATCCTACCGCGACGTGCAAAAACCGCATGTCATTTGGACCGTGTCTTGTGCAGATGGGTGCAGTGAGCCGTGCAGCCTGCACAACTGAGGATATTAAGGCCAAACATCTAGGCACTATGTAAACGTGCACGAAAATAGTTTGCGAAAATTCGGTCTCTATTTTTTGTGGGCGGAAAATGTTAGGAATGTTTCGGGCTTTTCCTAATTATAAACAGCATGTTTTTATTGTTGGTGGGAACGTTTTTGTTAATTTGTTTTTGTTTTTAAACTTTTTGGTACAATATGTGGTATGTTTGCGTTCTTAAATCAAGCCCAAGTTTTACCTTATTACCATAAATTCGTCGAAAATTGTACTGAAAAACTGTAGTTTTTTTTTCACAATATTGTAAACGAATTGGATATTTTCTTCATAGTATTTTTAGTGTTATTATCAACTTATCTACATTTACTTTCAAAATAGAACAATTAATAATTCAAAATAACAATAGTACAAAATGGTTAAATTAAAATTAAATATCATTTTCAGGAACCAACAAGAACACTTCCAATAAATATTTTCAATCGTGTCTATTTTAAAATCACAAATTAAATCGCACGTGACACAGCGTTAGTCTGTCAGATTTACTGGACAGGATTTGTTCAAGGTTAGACAAGATTGTGATATAAAAATTCAATTTATTTTTGAATCCTAAAATCTCCCGTTTTTTACCCATGCCACTATCAACATACCAAACGAAGTAATTCTGCAAACAAACTTAGTTTCAAATTAAAATTCTTGATAGTTTGTTTATTCTTTGTAACTAAAAACTTCTGCAATTTTGTAATATATTAAATGCATCATATTTTTTTTATGTGTTAAGTAGTTAGGCAAACAAAAAAAAAAGGATTACTGGATGGTAAGCAATTAGCGCCGCCCATGGCAATGACGATTTCAGAGTGCATTGCCGACTTTGGGGATTAGGGTTTTGGAGATTTTGGGAATGAAAAGGGATTGGGGGAAGGGAATCAGTCCTGCCGAGCCGAAACATGGATGTCTCCCACACTTAGATACATTATTTGATTATCATATATTTTATACCGTGAACTGTTATTCTCGAAAAAATCATGTATGAACTTGATAATATTTTATGTTCATTTAGACTCCATCCGAAGTAATGTAAGAGATCACCTTGTGCGACAAAGCCACTCATTGTAAACTCTGATTGATAATTGGATTCTTTATAATTTTACAGTACTTAAATAAGTTCAGTCATAATTTCTTAAAAATCGGAATCACCCTGTGGTTAAAAAAGTAACTGTATGTTAAATGTAAGAATAAAAAACATCTGAAACCCAAAAAACTACATTGAATTTAAAAAATACTTAGGCTTAAATAAAGTAACAAATGAAGCACGTCAAAAATACACACTTTTTCTGGTTAAGGAAAATGAAGGAGCGACTAAGGGCCAAATCATGAGGGTTAATCTGCTTCGGTCATTTGAGGGCATGATCGCTATTTTTGCTACATTTGAGATTATAGGGAATCTTTTTACCGTAAAAGCCCCTTGGTCATCATTTGTCTTTGCTGACAGACAAGTTTCGGAATGTGATTTGTCTGTCATTCATTCCTGCATTTCGTGTTTTTGGAATTGATAATGTGGATTTGTATTGTGTGGTTATAGTAATACGACTTCAAAGGTTCTTAAAGATTACTATTTTATCATAGTAATCATCATCATCATCAGCCTATAAGTGCCCACTTCTGAGCAAAGGCCTCTTTTCACACGGAGAAGGTTTGAGCATTAATCACCACGCTTGCTACATGCGGGTTGGTGATTTCAAACTTGTAATTAGAAATTATAAGTCCAGGTTTCCTCACGATATTTACCTTCACCGTGTGTCAGTGGTGTCTAAATAATCCTAGAAAGTACATTTATAACTTGGAAAAAGTCACATTAGTACTTGCCAGGTTTCGAACCCACACCCTCATTCATGAGAAGCGGGCTCCTCAACCTCCGGGCCACCACGACGAAAATATTAATAATAATAATTTATCATAGTAATTTGTTATATTTCAATAATATTGGATGTATTATCACAAAGTTATTTAAGCATTCTGTACGAAGTAGATTTTAATCAATTCATTATCTGCATGATCAGATTTACCAATGCAATAGACTGGTATCCATTCTTTCAGCCTTTGAACGAGAAATTCTCTGTATATTTTTATAATTTTCTGATTCAGGATAAACGTTTATTTATTTATGTAAAAGTATTTGTACACAGAAAGTTTAATAATGTAGTGGTAACTGTTTTGGATCATGCTTGGCTTAATTTAATATACTTTTTGGTTTATTGTATTTGTTCAATTTGAACTAGTAATTCCGAAGATTAGCGGTATCAAGCAAACAAACTGAAAGAAAAACTAAGCATCTCTTCTCATCGGGTATTAATTCTATGTACTTTATGTATGTTTATATAAACCTATTGTTATTAATTGATATCAAAATAAGGTATGTAACGCCATCTAGTTAGAAATGTGTAAAGTACTCATTATTCACTCACTCAATTATTCATTCTTTTAAGACCTGTCTATGATTAAATAAAAGTCAGTCGTATGTAGAACTTCAACTCGTGTTTTATTAGAGGTTATGGGCTAAAGAAATTCACGACTCTTAACAAGTAAAATAGTTGTTGTTCGTGTTAATTAGTGCTAAATAAAGACTAAAAATGAGTTCGCAATATATTGCAAATGTGCCGAAGCTGAAAGGACGCGAAAATTTCGACGATTGGGCTTTCGCGGTCGAGAATTTACTGGTTCTGGAGGGTGCAGATATTTACTTGAAGCAAGAAGGCACCGAAGCAGTATCGACATCAGCAGACGCAAAAGCACGAGCCAAATTGATTTTGACTATAGATTCATCTTTATTTGTGCACATTAAGGAAACAAAGACCACGAAAGAATTGTGGACCAAGCTGCGGTCATTATTCGATGATTCAGGATTTTCAAGGAGAATTACTTTGTTGCGTCATCTAATATCTATAAGATTAGAAAACTGTGAAAACATGACGAGTTATGTGACACAAATAACCGAAACATCTCAACGTTTAAGTGGAACGGGGTTTAAGATCAATGATGAATGGGTAGGTTCATTATTATTGGCTGGATTACCCGAAAGATACATGCCAATGATAATGGCCATAGAACATTCCGGAATTCCAATCACTGCAGATTCAATCAAAACAAAATTGATCGATATGGAATCGACTGATTTGGGAGAAATGGAACGTCATTCAGCACTAGCAGCAAAAAGCTGGCATAAAAAGAAACCCCGCAATGGCAACACTAACAATCAAACGTCAAAGTCGAGTAACACGAATCAATCAACAACAAAGAAAATAATTACCTGTTATGAATGCAAGGAATCAGGACATTATAGAAGTCAGTGTCCACTTTTGAACGAGAAAAAGAATAACAAGAAGCAAAGCAACGCTTTTAATGTTGTATTTCTCAGCGGCGAGTTCAGTAAAAGTGATTTCTATATCGAT